CCTTGTCTTAGGGATTGATGTAGCCATTGACGTTAATGGATTGATTGTTCGATTTCCTTTATTAAATTCATTTGATTATTCTATTTATGTTTCTCTTTGCTTCATGTCATTAATCAACTGGCCACATATTGATCGTAGACTTGCAATCTTACGCTCGGGAAAGGTGGTTGATAGTTTATAACTGAGTTTCATAACTAAAGGGGTTTTAAGATCGGGAGATTTAGGATTTCTTTAGAGGTCGTTAAGAAACTTGTTCGTTAAAACCTTTACTTGTTACGAAATTAGATGGGGATATTGGTTTAGTAATTTAGTAAAGAGACATGGCTTGCGTTCGGGAGAAGCAGTTGAGCTATGAAAGTTCTTTGCCTATAGAATTGATATTCGATTCAATCTAGATTAATTAATTAATTAGTCCATACATTCAATCAGTGAAATGTATTCCCTATGATCGTTCTTCCCATTCATTTTACATCCTTTAATAGTTTATGTCATTGCTTTAATCATATTCCAACATTCAATCTTAGTTTCTAAATAAAATTGGACAAAAGTATTTGTGTTAATTGAGTGATCTAGTAAGCCAATTATGCTTACAGTTAGCAAATTCTGCTACAGTTATGAACGGTCAATTAATCATTGGAGGCTTTATAGATGTTAGATGTTATTATAGCCATTAGAGGTTGTTAATTAAACCAATATGGTTTTTAGGTTGCTGTATTTTAGTTATTCTAGCACCTATAAAGTGTTGGTAGAAGGAGTTGTAAGGTAGAATGTTAATTAATAAAAATTCGAGAAGATTTCACTGTATAAGGATAGAAAAATACGAATGACAAAGACAACAAAAATCTGATTTTAGAAATTGTGGCAAATATTTTTTCTACCGTGAAAGATAAGTGTTGAAAAATAGTAATTTTAATTTTCAAATATGCTAGAAGCTTCTCGAGTTGCCAAAATCATTAACCAAAATGAACTATGGAGAGACTACTCCAGAAAAGAGAGTCAATGAAAAAGTTCTTCGAAGCCTTCCTCCAAAATTTAACCATGTTGTTGCAGCAATCGAAGAGTCCAAAGATTTGTCTAAATTGACAATTTTTGAACTAATGGGATCGCTTCAAGCTCACGAAGAGAGATTGGACAAGTTTACAACATAAGCTGTGGAGCAAGCCTCTAAATTTTGCAGAAAAGAAGACATTCAAGTCTAATCATAAAAAACAGTGGAATCCTGCACAAAAGAAGGATGGGCAACATGATCAACGGGATACAAGAGAAAATGGCACAGCAAAAAATCCGGTAATACTGACTCTTACTGCATTATTTGCAAAAAGTCAAATCATCAATCTAAAGATTGTTACTTTAGATGCACTAAATGCCGGATTGCAAATCATTCTAAACAAGATTGCTGGTTTCAAAATAAAAAAGATGAAGCAAATTTAACAAAAGAAGATAAAGTGGAGCAATTATTTTCTTGTACAATTGACCAACATGAATCAGAAAGTATATGGTACGTGGATATAGTGGTTGCAGTAATCACATGATAGGAAATGAAGACTTCTTTGTCAAGCTTGATCGCAGTTTTAGCTCTTAAGTAAAGCTCGGCAATGGCAAGATGCACAAAGTTGAAAGAAAAGGAGTCATTGTCGTCCACACTAAGAAAGGAGATACAAGGTATATTTCAAATGTTCTTTATGTTCGTGGCATAACCAGAAATCTGTTAAGTGTTGGTCAACTACTTCAGAAAGGATATGCTCTCAATTTTGATAATGGCAAAATGCATCATTCTAAACAAGAAAAAAGGATCAGATAGTAGCAAAGGTTGATATATCTGTCACCAAAGTCTTTCCGCTCCTAATGCCGCTAGAAGAGAACTTTTCTCTCAAGAGCGAAAGTCTAGATATTTCCTATCTATGGCACAAAAGGTATGGTCATCTTTATTGCAAAGGTCTTCTTACACTAAAAAAAAATATGGTGATTGGCCTACCCAAAATCGAAGATAATGGAAAAGCATACGAACTCCAACTCTCACTAGCTAAAGATATATTTCATTATATTTGTCGACGATTTTACAAGAATGATGTGGATTTATTTCCTTAATTAAAAACCAGAGGCTTTTGCTGCTTTTCTTCAATTTAAAGCTCTTAAACCAAAGTGGCAAAAAGATCAAAACTTTGAGAACAGATCGAGGAGGCGAGTTCATCTATAAGCCATTCATGGATTATTGCAAGGAGAATGGCATAATGAGACAATTAACAGTTCGACACAGTCCACAACAAAATGGTGTTGCTGAAAGAAATAATCAAACCATTGTGGAAATGGCACGGAGCATGTTGAAAGCTAAGGTTCTTCCAAATAATTTGTGGGCAGAAGCTGTCAATACATTTTTCTATATCCTCAATCGGTGTCCTACCAAAGCAGTAGAAGACAAAACTTCTATCGAAGCATGGAATAAGAGGAAACCTGTTGTTCATCACTTCAAAGTTTTTGGCTGCCCGCTTATTCTCTAGTTCCTTCCCGGGAAAGAGAAAAGTTTGATAAAAAAAAAGGAGTCAAATACTTATTCATCGACTACAGTGATGAATCAAAAGGATATTGATTGCTAGATCCAGAGATGAAGAAATTGTTGATATCAAGAGACGTAATATTTGACGAAACGGTCACATGGGATTTTGAGAATAATGGTTCTCAACCTTCCCAACAGTACGAAGATATTCAAGAGCTTGATAGCCAACAAGACTCTCAGAATTTGAGCTCACCAAGAAGTTCTCCTTCAACTCCCACGAGATCGCCAGTTGAAGCTACTTCAAATCAAGAAAGCTCGGAATCTCCCCTAAGAAGAATGCGTTCCTTGCAAGATATTTATGCTACAAATGAATATTTTTCAATGTTTGCTTGTGAGCCACAAAATTTTGATGAGGCAGCAAAAGAAGAAGTTTGGATCAAAGCTATGGATAAAGAAATGGCCAGCATCGAAAGAAATAAGACATGGGAGCTTCAAGACATGCCACCAAGAAAAGAAGCGATTGGCTTAAAATGGGTCTTTAAAACCAAATTTAAAGAAGATGTTTCCATTCAAAAGCACAAACTCGTCTAGTGGCAAAAGGCAATTCCCAACAGTCTGGTGTCGACTTTAACGATACTCTTGCACCAGTAGCTCGCATGGAGACAATAAGAACTGTTCTTGCTTTAGCAGCCTAGCTACAATTGAATGTGTTTCAACTGGATGTCAAATCTGCTTTCTTAAATGGCTAGCTAGAAGAAGAAGTATATGTAGAGTAACCTCAATGATATATTGTTCATGGAAAGAAGGAGAAAATTTACCGACTCCATAAGGCCTTGTAAGGATTAAAGCAAGCGCCTTGTGCATGGAACAGCAAAATCGATGGATACTTCTGCTGTAATGGATTTCAAAAAAATCCCAGTGAACCATCTCTCTATGTGAAAAAGGAAGGTACGAATTTTTTTGTTGTTTGCTTATATGTTGATGATCTAATATATTTTGGGACTAACTCAGAAATGCTGGAAGAATTCAAACAAAGCATGATGAAGAATTTTGAAATGACGGATTTGGGTCTCATGAAATATTTTCTTGGAATTCAAGTAAAGTAGCATCAAGGTAAGATTTTTCTTTCTCGAGAAAAATATATTGATGATTTACTCAAGAAATTTCATATGAGCAATTGCAAGCCTGCTGCGACTCCCATGACACGCAATGAGAAATTATGCTGTGAAGATAAATCTGGTAAAGCAGATCCACAGACTTTTCAAAGTCTGGTTGGTTCATTAATCTATCTTACTAATACCAAGCCAGATATTATGCATTCTATCAGCATTATTTTAAGGTACATGAATGATCTAAGCAAATATCATTATGCTGCTATAAAAAGATTTTTAAGATATTTACAGGGTACCAAAAGTCATGGGCTCAAGTATGTAAGGGATAAAGATTGCAAGCTCGTTGGCTACGCTGACAGTGATTGGGCAGGTTCTCTTGATGATCGAAAGAGCACTTCAGGATATGTGTTTTGTTTAGGATTTAATGCAATATCTTGGAGTTTGAAAAAGCAATAAACTGTAGCTTTTGTCTTCCGCTGAAGCATAATATACAGCCGCAACTGAAGCCGCTTGTGAAGCTGTTTGGCTAAGGAGATTCCTCAAAGATATTCAAATGGAGCAGGTGATACCGACAAAAATCTTTTTCGATAATATGTCAGCAATTGCAATGACCAAAAATCTTGTCTTTCATGCTCAGTCCAAGCATATTGAGCTACGTCATCACTATATCAAATATTTGGTAAACAAAGAAAAAATATTTTTGGAGTTCATCAACACCAATGATCAACCCGCAGATATGTTCACCAAATCGGTCACGACTGAGAAGTTTGAGAAGTTCAAGAAGTTTTTGAAAATTACAAATTAAGAGGAAGTGTTGAAAAATAGTAATTTGTAATTTTCAAATATACTAGAAACTTCTAGAGTTATCCACACAAATAGTTTTCTATAGATTTATCTAAAAGTTTGTAAATAAATATGTAAATAAAATACTCTAGAATCATCTAGTTTTTTTTCTAGATTCCAAGAAATTCTAGAGAATTCCTTTGTATAATAATAGATTAATATGTATCTAGAGAACTTCCTAACTCTCTAGAATTCTCTGTAGAGTTCTCTCAAACACCTATAAATGAGGTGTTATCTCCCTTTCTATGTAATGAAGAAAAACCAAAACTTAAATTAAAAAAGTGTCAAAGCACAGTATTAGAAGTTTCTCTTTCATACTTGTCTTTCCATTCTAAATAATCTCTTCCTTTCTTTCATGGCCCCCGAAAATAAGCAACAAATAACTTGTTTTGCTTTATTACTCAATAAAATAAAATAAATAAAAATAAACAGAAAAAAAGGGACTTACTCATACTGCGTGCTCGACCACAGAGAATCCTCGCCCGGATTAAGATTCTTCCACTTTAAACATTAGTGGACGGTACTCTTTCCCCGGCCCTCCCTCACTAACATCTGGGTTTCTCCATTTCTTTGTTTTTCTGGTTATGTACATGGCGTCAACTCGGGAGGGACACTATAGAGGAGTACGAAAGAGGCCGTGGGGGCGTTACGCAGCTGAGATTCGCGACCCATGGAAGAAGAGCAGGGTTTGGCTTGGTACTTTTGACACACCGGAAGAGGCTGCTCATGCTTACGACGGAGCTGCCAGATCTTTACGTGGTGCGAAAGCAAAAACCAACTTCCCCCCGCCGATAAAGGCCGGTCTCTCCTTCGACCTTAACGCCACCTCTGGATCTCACTTGTGTACCTCCCACTCTGGTCATATCGTCATCGGCGAGTTTCTGAACGCAGGTTCTCTCAAGGATGTGAGCTGTCCTGTCAACGCGGATGTCTCAGTTTCGATGAACAAAGAATCTCCGTTTTGTCTCTCCCTTGGTGCTAATGAAAGCCCCAGCCACCCAGTGGTGTCTGAAACGTCTACAACGACGTCGTTTTTAGGCATCGTTAGGCGAGGCTTGCCCTTTGATCTCAACGAGCCTCCTCCCTGTTGGCTGTAAATGAACCGATTTCTCTCGTAGATGCATAACTTCAGTCGTCGTTTTTCCTTTTTACTTAGTTTGCACTGTTTACTTGTATTTTGCTCAATTATTGTCTGGAACTGAACTCAGAAGACTGGTGGCACACCTCCCGGACAAAACGTATTTAGTGGTAAAATACTTAGACCGTTTAATAACCATTTTAATTTTTGTTAAAAAATCATATATGATTCTTTTTTTTTTTAAACAGAAAACCAAAACACGTTTAGTAACCATTTTTTGTTAGAAAATTTTATGTAGGGTATAGATGACGATGATGTGGGTACGAGTGAGAATGCTCTCCCTCATTTTCGTGTTATGTTCTCGAAAAAAATTATCGGTTTTATAATTGTTTTTAATTATTTTTAGAATTTAAGTATAAAAAAAGTGTAATAAATATATAATAATTATTTAAGAAATGGAATCGGGGACGGGGACAAATTCGGGACATGCATTTCGGACTCGGCCCTGCGGAAATTTTTGTCTTCCCTCTAATGTAGAGACATGAAAATACAAGTTTACACAGATGTAAATAAACTTTTAGAAAGATAAATAAAAAAGATTAAAAAAAATAGCGAAAGAAAAGTTAAATACAAAAAGAGAAAAATTATAGAAAAAAAAATAAAGTGGAAACAAATTTAGAGTTAATAACAATATTCAATATATAATTTTTAGAAAAAATAAATAAATACAAAGATAAATAGAAGTTACAGTGAAAGAAAATTGAACGAGAAAATAAAATATAATTTTCAGAGGAAAAAATAGATTACGAACAAATATAAAAATTATAAAAGATGAAATTTTAGAGAGGAAAAAAAAAGTTGAGTTGTAGAAGAAAAAATCAGATTTTGAAAAACAAAAACCTGTTTTTTAAAACTACTTTTTTTTTGTTTTTGAAATTTATATAGAATTTCAAAATAGCTTTTCAAAAAAAAAAAACAGAAAATTGAATTGGTTATCAAACAATCCTATTTTTTAAAAACCAAAAACAAAAAACGAAATGGTTATCTCCCCAAACAACCCTATTTTTTAAAAATCAAAAACAAAAAACGAAATGGTTATCAAACGGTTCTTAATTATCTATCGGTAACAATAAAATTTATTTGATATATTTTTGTTGAATTTCTGTAAGACAATTTTTTTCGCATAAATTAACAATTGTTGGCTCAGGTGCTCCTTGAAAACTTCTGCTTCTCCTTATCTTGGCAATTACCTTTTCTGACTGCGTTGGAATAGAAACAACACGTATTGCGATAGTACGTGTTGCGAGAGATCTAAGTTTACGTCAGATGACGTCTACCGTTTTTAAGAAAATAACAATTATATCTCAATAATATTTTTTCTTTTTACTTTTAACGCTATAGTTCAACATCAACGTTGCTATTCGCAGTGTTCAAAATGTCGATATCGATAAAAATGTCGAGGTCTCAATTTTACAGACACGTCGATGGATATTTCAGAAAAAAGAATAGAAATTGTAGAAATTGATGGAAATTTTTTGAATTAGCAAATAAAACTGAATTGTAGCTTAATTAGCCTATAATTTATCATCTTTAACCATTAAATGTAAGAGTATGACCATTTTACTTATGAAAATGTCGATGTCGATGGAAAAATCAAAAAAAAAATTTACTTTAATGAAGATTGATGGAAATTATTTGAATATGTAGAGTAAATTTTAATTGTAAACTTTTGACTACTTCTTTAGTGTTTTTCATAATGTAATTCATTTGGAAATGAGATAATTACCGACTTGTTTTTCCACTGGCCAAATGGAAAAAATAGGTAAAGAGAAGTTTTTAGAAACCAATGCTCAAGGGATTCCACAAAGAGGTTGATAACTAATTTAGAGCATGATTAAAGGAAAGAAAATGCACAAAGATATAAAGGAAGTAATTTTCATTGAATTAAAACGAATAAATAAGTCGTACAAAGAGTTCTAGCTTGACCTTCTTCTCTATCAAGCGGGAGGGGAGTGTAAACTTGCTTAAGAACTAAAAAAGAACATAATAAATGAAGAACAAAAGGTAGAACTTGAATTAAAAGCAATATAGTAAGCAAATGAAGCATAAGAACGAGTTCTACAACGAAACAGGAATTAAATGAAGTTGAAAACGGACTTGGAACGGATGATTTGAAGCTGAGGGAGAGGTTCCTTTTAATAGGTCATTGGGTTGGTTGAACTCCAATCTTTTTAGGTGGAAATGGACTGAGAACAACCTCTTCTTGACTTGGACTCACGGTTGTCGCTTGATTTAAACACATAGTAAATATCCTCATTGCCCATCATTAATCAAAACGCATGTTTTGGCAAAGTTGGAAAAAAAAAAGTTCCCAAATTGCACCAGGGGCAATTTTCTACATAATTGGAAAACTATTATTTTCTTCGAATTTTGACCATGTTTTTCTCATTTTTTCCTAAAGTACCATATATTGAAATTTATCCAGAAATGTTATACGCATGTCATCCTTTTTGGCAAATAATAATGGGAAATGGTTCAAAATCGTGGTCAAACAGGCCTATCGACACATATTTCTATAGTAAAAAGTCAACCATAATACGCATTACTGCGGAATGGCAGGAAACTCTTCGAAAGAGATTCCATAATGAAGCTTACCTGACTTTGTTCGTCGTTGACAGCCACGTTCGACTCTGTCACGTTGAAGTGGACCATCAGGTTCATAACGTGTTCTCGCACTGAAGAGCCCTCCTTCATGCGAGAATTGTAAATGCACTTAAGGGCTTCATGTCGAGCTTGTGAGGACGATTGTCCAAACATGCTCTACAGGGAGTTCATGATCTCCTTATCGGTGATCGTGTCCTCGTGCTTCTTAGCAAGCACATCAAATATGCTCGCCAAGATGTAGACATTGGCCTTGTCATTGCCTTGATCCATCGGTCATAGACGTTGCGCACCGCCACAATGGCGTTGGACGTAGAAGCTTGAGAACAATCCTCTTGTAAGACGAACCCAAAAGCATCTATGACTAATATATTATTTAGGTTCGATTTCCATTTTTGTAGTTTTTGCCGTTAAGTTTTTCCACAGCTAACAAGGCAATAATAGAAGTAGACGTGCTGAAAATAAAAACAAGTCTATATTAGTTTCATGCATTATCCTTTAAACCCAATCAAACTTTACCAGAAGTAATTAAGCACCAAAAAATTGTTTGGCAATGATGCTTCAGTGATTTAGAGCAACAGCCACCGTAGAGCAGACGGCTACCTTTTCACTGAATTTAGATGTTCCCAACTAAATCTTACACCATAATAACTCTTATTCCTATAACCTTTAGTCATCATTTATTCGGTCAGGGAATTGCTAACTAGCTTAACAACTTCTCGTAAGTGTGACCCACCATTTTCGGATCTCAGAGGTCCACTCCAATAATTTCATCGTACGGAAGGAAAATATTGGAGCAAAACTTAAGAAACCCTTATCCATTTCTGGAGTTTGCCTTGGTTTTGATTCCACACAATGGACCCTCCGTAGGGATGGTTGCACCAGAACGACACGCAGGTTATGTATGAAATCTCATGATGCAAATCAATGGTGGAGACCGTAGGATGTGTTGTCACACGTCCTTCTCTCACTTACTATGAATACTATCTCCATTTCGTAGGGGGGACATGAGGCTGAGCATGGAACTCATAGTGTGAACATTAAGGAGAAAGGTGAGAGAAAAATGCGTCATATGTACCTTGCATACCAAAAATATACATGGTATATTTCACATTCTCTTTTGCTCCCACTTAGTATTATAAGACTAGGGTATATTACTTAGGTACACCCCGGCTAAGTGAAATGAACTAAGTTCATTTTTAGTCGACCCAATATAACTATTTATATTTGAAGTTGTACAATAATGTTTTAGTTTATCAAATGTTTTAATAAACTAATGACAATATTGCATGCATAAAATATTGACTAATTCAACCCTCAGGTCGGTTCCCAAGTAGAGGTGTTCCCTTACGGTCAACTTAAATACCTCAACCTAGACAAAACCTTCCTTTGACAAGGTTCCCTTATAAGCAATATTTTATATTTAGTCTTTTATTATTTCATTTCAAAGTTAGTTAAAACAAAATAGAATACTACTCTTAATCATATTAGAAGATATAACCTAAGGTCTAATTAATTTTAAACCCTTTTAAAATTAATCAACTTAGACCCTATATTTGCATGCAATTCTTTATTATAGATTTAAATTTCTAACAACCAAATTTTATAACTCTTATAAAATTTAAGAAATTAAAAACTATAAACATACATTAATATAAGAATTATAGTAACTTCCGTAATGTCATGCTGAATGCAACTTTATTTTAATATAATTAATACAACACTTATATTAATTAATCGTGAAAATAAAACAAGCATTCATGCATTATAGCATCTATAACTATATGATGCATGATTATACATACATGTTATATATCAAATATACATATTATGTATGTATCATATGGTGGGATTTTAAAACTATATGGCATACATTATGTAATATACATTCAATTAAAATATACATTCAAAATGCATAAAATAATTAAATAGCAAAGTTGGATCAAATTTTGGCATCATAAGAAAGGAAAATAAATAAATAAATAAATAAAAACCGAAGAAAACACCCGAAATAGCACTCGAATCGCGAACCGATACAACGGAACCACGTCGGAAAACACCTGGGACAGCGTCGCGGCACTGCTGCAGCAGCTGCAACACAGCGTCGCAGCGCTACAGTGCAGCGCCAAGGCGCTGTCTGCTGTTATTCGGCCAACGCCATGGCATTTCCTCCACGGACAGTTTAGATCTTCTTCGCTGTTTTCTGCAAAAATTCGTCCAATCCGACGCCACGAACAGCTTTCAAGAGACCCGGACTTACAGACTCGATACATAAACATAATGCCTAAAACACCGGGCCCTTACATGATCAAATCAAAAAGAAAAATGCTATCAACATGTCAAAATTCTCAAACATCCAACCCGCAAAACCCATATTTCGAAAATGAAGAATTACCCACCAAAAATAATGTTTTTTTTATTAATAATGAGGTTAAGCCTCTTGGGGAAGATAAAAACTCACATTTAAAGATCGTTGACAAATGGTTTTCCCCAAGCACGAATCTTGTGACAGCACGAACAAGCGTTCCCGAATACACGAACCCAAACGTTTGACACTACCATTTAGCAACCTTGCTATCCTCAACGACTAAGAACATGACCGTGGGATTCTCCTTTGGAAAGAAAACGTACAAGGAATTCTGGTTTATGAGAGAGAGAGAGCTCCTTGCTTTTTTTCGAGTCAAAACACAGCAAACTTAACACGGAGAAAATCTTTGTATTTTAAAGAAGAGAGGGAATAGGGAGTAACCTTCCACTCTCCACCTTACCACTCCCGAGCAAAAATGTTGGGATGTGGTCAGTTTAATTAGTTAACTTAATTATATATTTAATTTAATTTAATAATTTAATTAAATTAAAACTCTTTTAATTTAATTATTAATTAATTAAATTTTATTTAATTAAATAATTAAATAAACATAATTTAATTAAATCATATTTAATTAAATCAATTAATATTTGAATCATATTCAAATATACATTTCCCTCCTAACCTATGGTATTTAATATGAATCTAATTCAGATTAAATTTTAACTTATAGTTTTAATATGAATCCTATTCACATTATGCTCTCATAATATATAATTCTATAATGCATCATCATGCATTATATTAAATTGTGTCATACATAATTAACTCGAGTTCCCTTAAAGTTGAACAATTCAAATTCCTTCCAAGATTTAACGTTCTTAATTACCCTTTACGAGCTATCAAGAGGACCTAATGGACCTATAGATTAAAAGCTCCAACGTTACGAGATTAATTGATAAACTCATTAACCACCTTAATCAACATATGTAACTACGGGTTACTCAACTAAAAACCTGCAGCTAAACTCTTCACACTATAGAATATTTCTGTATCCACGGATATCGATCATTAACGGCAAGTCAATCCTCCACAAGGGTTCGTAACCACAGATGGGTCAAATTACCTTTTTACCTCTATGTTACATCTTGTACCTTAAGTACCGATGATACTCTAATGAACACCCTGGTTATGGTCCGACCAATAACTGGAAATCTATTTCGGGCCAGTGAGAGGGTGGGGCCCTTTGTTCAAGTCCCGCAGTCAAAACTAAAGGGAACACTCATCTGCTCCCCTAAAGTCATAAAGGAGTGAATTCCATCTTGTGTAGTTATTTTCCCAGCTTCCCACTCGGTCTCGTCTCCAAAATGGTGTGAATGTTGAGTCGGTGAAATAGCAATCAAGCCCTCACAAGCAGCAGTCCATAAATCACTCAGGATTGAGATTGAGTTGCCTAGTCATCCTATGAAATAGCAATCTGTTAGTCAATGATGTTATATCTAAAGATCGGCGATTTCATGGTTCGGTCTTATACAAACTCATTGTATATGATACCCTCACTCGCATGTCTCTCGTTTGTAACATTTACAAAATGGGTCGTATCCATAGTGTTGCCAGGACAAGGTACCCCACCTTATCCATATACTATAGACCCTTTAGGTTATTCCCGCGACATTATCCACTTGTATATCGAGGGTATATCACATATATACCCAATATATATATTGTCCCGGTTACATGACAATAACCTTGGATGTTTAGTTTATTGGAATTAGACAATGCATTGCTATGAATTCAACAATAAATTGACTGAATCAAACTTTATTGAATATAAATTTGTTTTTATATGAATACAAACTATGAGTTTAGGGCAACACACCCAACATAACTAGCTTAACAACTCCCAGTAAGTGTGACCCACAATTTTCGGATCTCAGAGGTCCGCTCCAATAATCCCGCTGTAGGAAAGGAAAATATTGGAGCAAAACCTAAGAAACTCTTATCCATTTTTGGAGTTTTCGTGGAGACCTATGAGTCACTGTGGATACAGCCGACCCAATGGATCACGTGGAGACCTATGAGTCACTGATGGACTTTCATGCCTATCCCGACGCGATGAAATGCAGGGCGTTCTCCGTAACTTTACAAGGGTCCGCGAGGAAATGGTTCCTGCAGCTATTGTCCTACTCCATTCCCTCCTGGAAGCAGCTTCGCAAGGCATTTGTGACATAGTTTGCAGCTCAGCAGAAGACCCAGCATCCAGCTCAATACTTGCTCACAATAAGGCAAGAGGCGGGGGAGAGCTTGAGGAACTATGTGAGGAGATTCCTCGCTGCGCAAATTACAGTCTCATGCAATAAGGAGTTCGCCTCAAGGGTCCACCAAGAGCAACTAAAGTGGTCGTTTGTTAAGAAACCCAAGTTCACCATCAAGGCCAGCATCGAGCTAGCTAGAAAGTTCATGCAGGCCAACAATCTCATTCAGTCATGGGAAAATCCATCAAGGGCCAGCTCTACGCATGAAAGAAGAGGTCGGGATAATTCCAGAAGGTCGCCGCAACGCCAGAGACAGTACGATCGCAACTCTCGACCAAAGCAGAAGCAGAAGTACGGCCGACCTGAACGGTATGATCGCTTCACACCCTTGAACGTTTCGGTAGCTAAAATCTTCGCTAACATACAAGACTCGAAGCTCAACCTACTCACCGAGCCCAACCCCATGAGCCGAGATCCTGAGAAGCACAACAGATTGAAGTTCTGTCATTTTCACAAGGACCACGGTCATGACACATCAGACTGTTACGACCTGAAGAGGCAAATTGAGGGCCTCATCCATAAGGGATATTTCAAGAAACATAAGAGGCGAGCTCCCAGTAGATGAAGGAACGGAGCAGGTGGCTCTAAAGGGGAAATGACAGAAAGAAAGAGGACGCGATCTCCCCCAAAGTGCATAGATCGATCTGCAGTGATCAATATGATCTTCGAGGGATCGAGTGGGGGCCTGATAACTCTCAAAAAGAGAGTTATTCTAGTGATTATTTGAGTGAAAATGTGCATTAAAACGTCATAGTGTGTTGGTTTTAGGTCCTAATTAGCATAAATAGTGTTTAATTGCAAATTCTTAGCTAAATATACTTAGTCTTGAGAACTTTTGCCAAAAACAGCATAAACTCTTGTATTTGTGGTTCTGTTACACATGTTTTTTAGAAGAGCTGAAAAGAGAAAGAAGTGCTGAACCAGAGAGGAAAAGTCAAAGCATTGTCAAGTCGGAGCATATAAAAGCTGGAGCATAGCGATATGAGAGCATGAGTGTCCGTACAGTTAATTCAAAAACACGGGATTCACTCATGTCCGTACAATTTCAAGTCGGGTGCCCTAAAAACAGGACCCAATATTTAAACGGAATGTTCCCCTAGCTGACAGATACGCGGATCCCAAGGGAGACAAACTTAGAGAGCTGAAAAGACCAAGGAAGGGAATATACCCATTTTCAGGAGGAGAGCTAATGCCAGAAAGGGGAAGCTCGTCTGCTGCTTTGCGCTGACTGCTCTTCTTCTCTGTCATTTAGCTAACTTTCTGCTATGGGTTGTATTTCTTCTTCTTCCGTTTTGTTTTCTTCACCCATTATGAGCTAAACCCCATTTCAGGGGAGATTTGCATGCTGTAACTGACTTGAGACCGAATCTCTAGCTGCTACATTTATTTCTAAGCAAATCTAATTTTATTTCTTAATCTTCTCATTACTGTTGGCCGTTGTTTCGTGTATGCTAGCTTCTGTATTGACCTGGAAGGGCTTATCGGTGCTGATTCATTTTGCTTGTGATTAGCGCTATAGCTATAGGGATACTCAAGAATGGGGTCCCCTAATCATGTCTATATCCATACCCAACTCTGTACATTTTTAATTAATGGTATTTGCTTTTATCGTTAAAATATAAACCCAAAATCCTTGTGGATACGATCTCGTTACGTACTACAATTGACTATTCGTGTATACTTGCACACGTTGTCGACATAGTTGTGTGGACGCAACAGGGCCAAATGGGGAACAAGCATAAGGCGCTAGCACTAGAAGCCAGCCATGAATTGTGCGTGAGCTTCACGCTGCACGTCCTCTACCAGATCACATTCTTGGAGGACATTACGAGGGGCCTGCACAACCCACACAAAGACACCTTGGTCATCGAAGCTCAGATCGACCACGTGATGGTTTGGCGCATATTGATCCATGGAGGTGCCTCTACTAACATTTTGTCATTTTCCACTTATATTGCTTTGGGATCGCAGTGAGGTCAGCTCAGGCCTAGCCCCATCCCGCTGGTCGGTTTTGCAAGAAAACTAATTAGGCCTAAAGGATGCATAAGCCTCTTCATAACTATGGGATAAGGGGAGCACCAAATCTCAAAGATGGTCGAATTTGTGGTGGTTGAAGCCACATCGGCATATAACGCGATATCCGGTCGGCCTGTCATCCATGACCTCCAAGTTGTGCCATCTACACTATCTCAAGCAATGAAGTACACAACTTCCAAGGGAGTAGGAGTGATACGAGGCGAGCAAAAGACATCAAAGGAATGCTACGCGGTAGCCCTCAAACCAACCTGCAAAGCAATCACCGGTGGCTCAGAGCTCCCAGCGATTAAGTCACTTGACGAGCAGAGCAGCGGAGAGCCCGCGGAAGACCTATAGCTTATTCCATTGCTTGGCTCAGAGAAATGTGCGAGCATTGGCACAAAGCTTGGGGCGACCGAGAAAGGAGAGCTTGTCTAGTTCTTGAAGAACAACGCAGACATGTTCGCCTGGTCGCACGAAGACATGCTTGGGATCGACCCCAGCATCACGGAGCATCGTCTCAATGTAGTCCCTTTTGTGCGATCATAAAGCTATTGTATGAGAGGTACAAAAACTTTTGAAATCTGAATATATCAAGGAAGTTAATTACCCTATGTGGCTCTCGAATGTAGTGTTAATAAAAAAATCAAATGGAAAATAGAGGATGTGTATAGACTTCACTAATTTAAACAAGGCATGGCCCAAAAACAGTTCTCACTCCCACGAATCGACCAACTAGTCGACGCAACAGCGGGACACAAACTACTAAGGACGCCTACTCAGGGTATAACCAAATAAATATGCACATCCCCGACCAAGAGCACATCTCGTTTATCACCGACTAGTGACTTTATTGCTCTAAAGTCATGCCTTTTGGGCTAAAGAATGTTGGAGGAACCTACTAGCGCATTGTTCAACAAGATGTTTGCCGACCAAATAGTTCAGAACATTGAGGTATATGTGGACGATATGCTTGTGAAGAGTAAGAAGACAACCTCCCATATTGCCGACCTGACGAAGAAGTTTGAAATTCTCCAAAAGTACCAGATGAAGCTTAACCAAGAGAAGTGCGCGTTCGGGGTTTTTTCTAGCAAGTTCCTAAGGTTCATGGTCAACCAACGCCGAAATAGAGGCAAATGCTGAAAATATCCGAGCTGTATTAGATATCCAGCCACCTTAGAATTTGAAACAGCTTCAATGTCTCAATGGACAAATCGTCGCGCTGAATCGTTTCATGTCGCGATCTACAGATAAGTGTCTGTCATTCTTCAAGGTCATACGAAAGAAGGAGCGCTTTGAATGGAGCCCGGAATGCCATGTGGCTTCCGACAAGCTAAAGAACTAACTGAGGTTGACACCGCTGTTATCGAAGACGCTGCCAAGTGAAGAGCTCACTTTGTACCTCGTAGTATCAGCAAGTGCGATGAGCTCGACGCTAGTGAGGCAGAACGATAGTCGGCAGAGCCCTGTGTATTACACAAGCAAGGCCATGACAGACGCTAAGACTCGTTATCCATAAGTGGAGAAGTTAGTGCTGGCGTTAACTATCACAGCACGACATCTCCATTTTTACTTCTAACTTCTCAAGGTGTAGGTCCTCACTAACTTCCCCCTAAAGCAGGTCTTCCAAAAGCCTTAAACCTCAGGAAAGCTCATGAAATGGCATCTCGAGCTGAGTGAGTACGACATAAACTTTGAACCAAGAACCGCGATGAAAGGTCAAGCGATGGCTGATTTCATTGCAGAGCTCACTCCACTCACCAACTCGGTAGAAGAAAACTTAAGTAGATGGGTCCTCAACGTCGACGAATCCTCCAATGAGGAAGGTAGTGGGACTGGAGTCCTCCTCCAGGCGCCCAGCGAAAATCGATTCGAGTACACGATGAGGTTCAATTTCCCAGCCTCGAACAATGAAGTAGAATACGAAGTGCTGATAGCAGGCCTACGTATGGCCGAATCCATGGGGGCCACACGCTTAGAAATAAGGAGCGATTCACAGCTCGTGGTCAATTAGATCACCGAGGAGTATTAAGCTAAGGACAGTAGGATGGAGAAGTACTTACACAAGGTTCGTGAGATGTTAGCTCGACTGTAGGAGTATGCCATAGAACGGGTACCTCAGCCAAGAACGCTAACGTTGACGCCCTAGCAAAGCTAGCATCCTCCAAACTGACCGAGCTCCATAGGTCGGTCCTAGTTGAAATTCTGGAAGCACCCTCTGTTCAAGAGCCAAAAGCAATGAGCGTAGAGGCCAGAACCCCGACTTGGATGGATCCCATAAAAACTTTACTTCAAGGTAGAGGCCTTCCAGAACAGGCTGATCTCAGGAAAATGCGGTAGATCCGAAAGAGGCGAGGTACGCCCTAAGAGAGATCCACGAAGGGGTATGCGGCAGTCACACAGGGGGCCGATCTCTGGTCATTAAATTGGTTAGACAGGGCTACTACTGGCCCACCATGAGGGAGAAGCCATGGAGTTTGCTCGTCGAGGTGATAGATACCAAAGGTTTGCAACAGCGATAAATCAACCGCCCGAGCTCCTCACGCCGATCTCAGGCCCCAGCCCGTTTGCCCAATGAGGAATCGACCTAATTGGGCCCCTCTAACCTGGAAAAGGCCAACGAAAGTTTGTTGTGGTGGCTGTGGATTACGTCACCAAGTGGGCGGAGGTCGAACCATTAGCCACGATAACTGAGGCCAAAAATACGAACTTCGTATGGTAAAACCTCGTCTGTAGATTCGGCATACCCCACACTATCGTATCCGACAATAGAAAGTAGTTCGACAATCATAAGTTCAACGGCTTCTGCGTACAGCACGGGATAAAGCATTTCAGCTTTTCCCTAGCTAACCCACAAGCCAATGGCCAAGTGGAAGACATCGACAAGATCATTAAACGCAACCTAAAGCTAAGGCTAGAGGAGTGCAAAGGCAGATGGGTCGAAAAGCTGTCCGAAGCGTAATGGTCCTACAGGATGACCACGAAGAACTCCACTAGAGAAACTTCATTCGCTTTAGCCTTCGACTCAGAAGTCGTGGTGCCAGTCGAGATCGGCCTACTAACAGCTTGGACCGAAGCCATCGACGCACCAACAAACGACAAGGAGCTTCGCTTGAACCTAATCTCCTTGAAGAAAGGAGGGAGACCTCACAGCTCGAGCTTTCCAAGTACTAGAGGTGAATGAAGCAACATTACGATGCGAGACTAAAACTATGTCGCTTCCGACCTAGCGACCTCGTTCTATGCAAAGTTCTCCAAAAGGGTGGGACCCTTGAGCCCACTTGGGAAGACCTATTTCAAGTGAAGTGCAAAAAGCGACCTGAGACCTATACCTTGACCGACCTAGAATGGAAACAGCTCCCCCACCCCTGGAACGCACATCACTTACGCATTTATTATCACAAAGCACACAAGTATGAAAAGCGCGAGCTACTGAGAGCACGGATGTCTAAAAAAAAGAGAGAGAAAGAGAGATTCAAGGTAAAGACTGTTTGGTCTTTTGTAAAAAAAAAAGGAACGAGAAATTTGGGAATTATTGAAGTTTAAGGT